TCTTCTCTTCTGCTGGCTTCGCCCTGAGTTTGTTCTTATTTTTCTAGACCTCTGACATTAAGTTGTCATCTTTCTTATTTGATTTAGGCATTGCCCACCATAAACGTTTGTCTTAGAACTGCTTTTACCATAACCCTCTAGGTCCTGGTATTTTGTGTATCCATTTTCACTCGACTCAAACTATTTTTGATTTCCTTTTTGGTTTCTCCATTGACCCACGGGCTGCTCGGTTGCTCAGAAGCATGTTTATGTTTCATTCCTGCATATTTGTAAATTTTCCAATTTTGGCTCTGTAATTGATTTCTAGTTTCATAACATTGTGGTTGAAAAAGAGACTTGATTTCTTTTCATTCTTCTTGAATTCGTTAAGCTGGTTTGTGACTTAGCGTATGATTTATCGTGGATAATCTATGTCGTTTGAATAACGAGGACATCCTGCTGTTACTGGATGGGGTGTCCCGTACGCGTTTAAGTCCATCTCTCACCAGTGCTGTGGAGGTCCACTGCTCCTTGCCAGCGTCTGTCTGGAAGATGTACCTGTTGTTGAAAGTGGGGATACTACAGTCCCCTCTGTAACTGTCTGTTACTTTCCCCCTTCAGTTCTGTTCACATTTGTTTTATATATTTTGAGCAAATACATATTTACAGTGATAAACTGACTTCTTTTAATACATAATGACTGTCTTTGTCCCTTGTGACAATTTCTGACTTAGTCTATTTGGTCTGGTATAAATATAGCCACTCCAGTTGTTTCTTATCATGTCTATGGAATAGCTTTTTCAGTCGACGCGTGTCTTCAAAGCCAAACGAGTTTCTTGTAGGCAGCATGTAGTTGGGTCTTGGTCTTGTTGTTTTTGTTTTTAAATCCATTTGGCCAGGCTGTCTGTTGATTGAAGAGCTTGACCCACTCATGTTTACGTTATTATCAGCTGTAGGGCTTGCAGGGCCGTCTGTAACCCCACACACACTCCATTCTTCCTCTATTGCTCTGCACCTTTGCAATTTGATGATTTTTGTAGTGACAAGCTTTCTTTCTCTCTTGTGTACATTCTACAGGTTTTGTTCCTTTGTGAATTTACTTAAAACATCTTACAGTTAGAGCAATCTATTAATATTTTAGGCTAATACCTTTGTATGCAAAATGTCTACATTTAGACTTTCCATCTACATCGTTACTGATATCACAACTTACATCTTGTATATATTCAGTATCCATTACCACATTTTTGTGGCTATAGTTATTCTTCTTCTTTTTTTTTTCTTTTTTTTTTTTGAGAGGTTTTTGCTATAGGGTGTGTGCGCTCACCAGAAAGGCAGAAAGAGACAGAGAGACAGTGAGAAATCACCCCCAGGGGGGGATGGCCACGCTGCAATCCCCTCTCCTCCATTCTCCTCTCAGGATCTTGGGCACGCACACACACGCACCCGGCGTGAGTTTTAAGCCACCGGGTCCAGGATGTGAACGCAGTCAACTACATGAGAGTCAAGCGACATAGCCATTACGCTAAATGCTGGTCCCTATAACCTGACTTTAAAAAGACTGTTCTGCGTGGGTAATAAGAGGGTGTTAGTGTCCAGCTTCCTTGAAAACGTGTTAACATCTTCATACGCACCAGGAAACTTACCTCCTCCCACCGTCGCCCGGAGAGCAAAGCATACGGAAGGCCTGCAGCGCTGGCCACAGGGTGGGGACGTCTTCCAGCCCGCTCCGCTCTGGTCAGGGTGATGCAGAGAGCCCAGCGACGTGACCCTCCGTTTACAATCAAGTCCAGCACCGTGTTTGACAACGAGCTGCTTTATTAAACTCCACACACTTACATAAGAACCCTGGGCAAACGGGTATCCGACACCGCGGATCCGACCCTCCGTGCTGTGAATGTCCCGGAACGCCCCGCCTGGCTAGACCCCGTGACCCTGGGCACATGAGGACCAGAGTGGCCACGCCCTGTCCTGGCAGGACAGTCTGAGCAGCCTCGCCCACGGCCCAGCAAGTGCCCCAGCCCAGGACAGAAGCGCAGAACCCCAGGGCCACATGTGAGGGCCACGCAGCAGCCTTGGGGACGGGTCTTCCTGTCCTGGGCCACTCTATGTTCAGGGTTCCAAGACTTCGTGGAGGGATGAAACTTCTGGAAAACAGACAGAGAGAAAGAGAGAGCACAGAACCGAGTAAGGACAGGGCGCCCAAACCCAGTCCGGCCCCACCAGGCAGGCGCAGGGTCAGAACGCGCTAGGCGGTTCCGGGGGTTCCGGCCCGGGTGGGACGCGCATGGCGAGGCCTCCGCTCCTTACCCGGCTCGGGTGCCTGCGGGACGAGGTGCCTGGGGCTGGCGAGCAGTTCTGTGGAGTCGCGCTCTCCCGACGGGTCCTCCAGGTCCGACTCGGGGATCGTGGCACACCCACCTGCCGGACCAGCACAGCGTGGTGAGCGGGGATCGGTCCCCCCAGGCCAAGGCTGAGGCCGGCCACGCAGGTGGCAGAGGCAGCCGCCGCCTGCAGGAGTGGACCGACAGCGACCTGACGTGCCAAGTGAGAGCGGGCGCCCCGCCCAGACGTGCCGCAGCGACCAGAGCTGCAGCAGGACAGGCGGCCAGTAAAGCCCCTCACACCCAGGACAGCGCGGCCTCTAGAGCCCCCTCACACCCAGGACAGCGCGGCCTCTAGAGTCCCCTCACACCCGGGACAGCGCGGCCAGTAAAGCCCCTCACACCCGGGACAGCGCGGCCCCTAGAGCCCCTTACACCTGGGGACAGCGCCTGCACACCTACGACACCCACACGGCGCCCTGAGCAGGACCATTCCAGAACCAGGGCCAAGGAGGCTATGAGAGAAGCCAGGCGCATGGATCCCCAGGGAGAGAACCTTCCAGAGCAAACAGGAAGAGTCTGTGTTCGTGACGGAGACCGTGGGGTCCCTCTCCGGGATGTGACTGACCCTCAGCACCGCAGCGCAAAGCCACAGAGCCACCTGCGGGGACTCCCCCAGGCGAGTGGAGAAGAGCCGCCCCGCGGCCTTCCCGCCAGCACCCCCTACAGAGACGCAGTCCAGGGCTCCTGCCTGCACCTCAGCTCCTTTGGCCGGCGTGGCCGTGTCCTGGACGTGGGCTGACCATCGCTCTGGCTGCACGTGACCCTGCTGTCTCAGCACCCAGCACTGGTGGTCATTCGGTTTGACACAGAGGGGCCCAGCAGGTGCAGGTCACTCCGGGGGAGGCGCGACAGTGGGTCAGTGGTGCGGACTGGACAGAGAGCGGAGGGGCGGGACCCCCAGCAGAGCACACCACACCCCTCCTCCTCTGCAGCGTTCTGAAAGGACAGCGAAGCCCAGGTGCACGCGCGAGAAGAGCCAACTCACAGGCTGAGCGAGAATTAGAAGCCCTCCAGGGCTCCCGGACAGGGCCTGGAGGCGCCCGCAGCACCTGAGGATGGCAGGGCCCCTGGGGCGCCAGGCTGGGTTTTAGCTCCTTCCAAGCCCTCCTGGGTGCTTCCCACGTGGGAACAGGCACTAGCAACGAGCGTGTGGGGGTGGGGCTGAGACGGAACAGGAAGCTGCGGTCCCCCCAGGGAAGCTAAAGGGCCCGGTTCTCCCAGACTCCCAAGGCAGGAAGGGTGCACGCCCCACGGCTGGGATGGTCAGGGACTAGCGGAGGAAGCTTGGGAGTGCAGGGGGGCCGCCCCAGCCAATGCGGGCGAGGATGCCACTGTCCTGCACTGGAGGGGGTCTCACCAACTGGGTGTCCAACTCTCAGCCCACCTGACCCAGTGTGGGGGTGAGACAGGGTGGGAAGACTTGGCACTTGCCAGTCTTCTGTTGTGTGGGCACAGAGGCGGCCAGTGCTACAGACGCCAGCCTTCCTCTGCCCTGGGCCCACCTGCAGAGACAGGCCACCCTGCGGAGTGCACGGCCCTGTGCTAAACCTGGTGGGCTGCAAGCCCCTCCTCAGGCTCCTGGGGACCTCCCTCCCAGCCACTCCTCTGCAGGGGGCGGTCACTACCTGCAAGAGGGCTCAGAACTGCCTGTGCATGCAGTGTCCAGAGCGCCCACACCCCTGGGGCTGGGAAGCGGTAGCTGTAGCTGTTAGAATCTAGGTACTGCCTCATAATTAAACAGCATAATTGGAGTCTTTTAAGTGGATTATAAAACACTAGGTACACTACAGTCTAATTTTTGAATTTATTTTTTTAAAGAATTATTTGTTTAATTTTATTTTTTATTGTGATTTATTTTTTCATTTGACCAGAGAGAACGAGAGAG